ACACCCCCTTCTCTTCCTTCCTCTCTTCCTCCCTCCCTTTCCTTCTCTTCTTCCTCCTTCTCCTCCCTTTCTTCTCTTCCCTCTTCCTCCTCCCTCCCTCCCATCTCTTCTTTTCCCTCCTCTCACTCAACTTCCCTTCTTTCTTCTCTCCTCTCCCCCTCTTCCTTCTCTTTCCACTCCTCCTTCTTCCTCCTCACTCTCCCCCCCCTTCCCCTCCTCCTCTTCCTCTCCCTGACCCCCTCATCCTCTCTCCCTGGTCCCCTTTCTCTTCTCTCCTTCTATCTCTTCCTCCTTCTCTCCTCTCCTCCCCCTAAACCACCTTCTATCCCTTTCCCCCTTTCTACATCTCCTCCACTCCTCTCTCCTCTCCTCCTTTTTCTTCATCCTCCTCTCCCTCTCTTTCTGTTCATCTCTTTCTCTCTGCTCATTTTTTCCTCCTGTCCTCCTCTTCCTCTTCCTCTTCTTGTTCTTCTTCTTCCCCTGCCCCCATCTTCCCTTCTCTCCCCCTCTAGAGGAGTCTGGGTTGGGTGGGATGGAGTGTAGAATTAGAGTTCCATGAACTCCTTGGTCACCCCCTTGGACCTGGGGGTTCACCCTCTTATGCTCCCCAGTTTCATCCCTATCTGCTGCATCTTGCCTTCTGACTTTCTCAGAAACCCCAAGGTTTCCGGCTTGACTCCCCCTCCCCCACCTCAGTTGCGTCTGCAGAAAGAGTTCCTCCCTGATGGGGGGGTCAGTACCTCCCACTGCTTATCTCTGCCATCCCCGCCCAACTTTTGAAATCACCCCAAGGCCACTGGCTTCCTCTGAGAAGGGGGACAGGTGGGAGGTGTTCCCTTTACCCATACCCACTTCCCTGGGGAGGCTGGCCCTAGTTCTGCTTTCTGCTTCCTTCAGCCCCCGCCATCCCCAGGCCTCAGTTTCCCCATTTGCCAGATAGGAGGTGGTGACAGGGCCAAGCTAAGACCTGTGAGATGGCAGCTTTGGTCTATGCCCCTTTGCCACTATACTTCTCTGTGTGTATCACTGTCTCCCTGGGTCTTTTTCTCTAACACTGTTTCTTCGCTCTCTGTATTTCATATCATTTCTATGCTACCATGATATATATTGCTCTTTCTCTACTTTTG